CGAATTTTTATCGTCTAGGACTAGACATGAATTTTATGATAGCATACATGTAAATATTAATGTTCAAATACAAAAGGAAAAAGCTTTAATTATGTAATTTCAACTTTCAACGAGATATGTATAATTATCATGTAAACAGGTAATAATGTTTGCGGTTTTAAATATTTCAATTATTATCATCTTTAAATAGATTCAATATCATTATTTTTCTACTATAAACAGGAAAAAAAAAGTGCACGCTTATTAATTTATCTAATTTTGCATACCGTTAAAATAAAAATAAATTGAGGTAACGTTAAAAGATCAAAATTTGTTTTCTATTTTTATTCTTTTTTTATATATATATACATACGAGTTTCGTTATAAATTAATTTTTCAACACATTTTTTTTTTTTCTTGAAAATGTTTCGCATCAAAACTGCTTGTATTTATTTTCTTTATCAACTTTAATAGAAAAATTGTATAATCGATCGATTATTAAACAGAAAATAATTCCCTTAATGTATTTAGAGATAAATCAATTTGATTTATTTCTATTTATCGTCTGGAAGAGAAAAGTTCAAAGTTCGTGATCTAAACTACTTGACTTCTTCGTAATACTAAACTCGTTAGGATATTTTATAAAGCGAACATTTATACTTCAGCCATTAAACTAATTTGTATATATCTAATCAGCATTCTTTCTAATTGTGTAATTGGACAAAAAAAAACATATAACACATATTTCCTTCAATATTTATTTTGCGTTGTATTTAATACTATGTAATTATAATATATTATACGAGCTTAAATTAGATATTTCGAATTTTCTTATGTGTGTGTGTGTATTTAAATATTACAAATTTATTTATTTTCTCAAATTTATTTTAATCATTCATGAATCGCGTTGAATCCCGGAAATAAATGAAATGAAAAAATGTGTCAATGATAAATTAGAAATAAATATTCTCATGTTATTCGAGGATTTACGATTTAGGAACGATTTGAAATAACGTGAAAAAATATCAATAGGGGAAAAAAATGAACGTTGAAATAATCGTGATCGAAAATAAATTTCTTAGAAGAACGGAGAAATAAATTGGCAGATTACACAGGTCACGTAGTAGGGTTAACGGAGTACAAAAATTTCTGGAACGAGACGTGCGTATATACGCGTGCATGCGTTGCCGGTTTTAAGTATGACGTGTCATAAAAGAGGTGTATAGGTGAATCTTTAAACATCGAAACATTCTTGCGTATACGTGAACGCAAGCACGTTTCTATTACAAAACTTTGTTATATATTTGTATTAGATCGAGTAAAATTTAATTTCATTCGTGTTTAACAAAAAATATTATAAATTATATTTAATTTATGCATTCCTCCCCCTTTAATATATTGGTGAATGAGTTTATTATAAATTATTAATATATTAATAAGATATATTATATATATTAATATATGTATTTTCCAAGATATAATTTTAATAAGGTTTATCGAGAAATGAGATGGAAAAAAATGATAAATTAATTAGCTGAGTGTTGAGAATAAATAATAAAGATGAGGAAATGTCAATTTCTATTCATATTATGAATAATACATCGATTGCAACAATCAAATTGCATTACATTTTTATTATAGGAATGCAATACGTATGTTATCAGCGGATGCCATGTTCATATCACTCAACTTATCGACTTAGTCGATGATGCATTTGAGAATTTTAATTGTCGCTGTTAGAGTCGGTTTAAAATATTAACACGTACGCATACATACATAAATATAGGTGTGTGTACATATTGGATATCTTAATACTCGTATGATAGCTTGACGAACATAAGCCTTCAATCTCACGTAAAAAAAAACGTATTCTGATATCATCTCGAATTGCTAAGATAAGTTCTTTCAGATAATCCGATAAGATTTTATAATTGGTGTTATATTTTTTTTCATCACATTGTTTTGATAAAAAGAAAATTCTTCTATAAAAGGAAAACGTAATATATAAATACCATAAATTATTTTCTAACGAAGTATTATGAATACATTTATGATATTTAAAAGAGGAACGTTTTAAATCGAATGTGTGCATTATTTGCAATTCAATCAAAATTTTATTATTTGTTCTATACTTCCATTTCATATATCTCAATAAAACCGAATAGTTTTCACAAGGAAATATACACGCACTATATATATAAATACTATTAATATCTAATTAAATAATACTATGTGTCAAATATGATATCTCATAATTATTTTAATAAAATTTCGTAATTACCATTATTTTTCCGTCTCGATTCTCGATAAAGAAGAAGAAAAAAAAACAAAACAAGAAAAATTGACACACGTAACAGATACGTAAGTCTTTAATTAACTCATTAACCATAATAATGAAGAGAGAACGTCGAAATCAAATATAATTTCTTACGACTGGCTCGATAAGATTTCACAATTGATAATCTTTTTGTTTATTCCAATCGTTCATAAAATCAGGAAACTTTTAACACAAAATATTTCTATTATTAAATACAAATATTATTAATTTTGAATCAGATATATATATATAATGAAACAAAGTAATCTTTACGATAAATATTGGACATATTATTATAAAAGTATTTTAAAGTTTATAAATAAAACATTCGTCGTCGGGGTGTATATTTAATGCGCGTGTATGTGTGCGCGCGCACGTTCCCACCTTCGACGGCCATTTTCTTTCGTCACGTTCACGTATTTTACAGAGGACGTTCCAAAGAATTCCATTGAATACGGTCATCCCTACACATACAAACAGATACACAGAGATATGCATAACTGTGGTTTTGCACACATACTGCACACATTTGCGGGTTCACACACAAATACGCGCATTCCCTTTCTTTCTCTCTCTCTCTCTCTCTACATACACGTTTTAATCTTTTTTCTTGAATGACCTTGAGAATATAGGATGCCAGAAAAGAAGGCGTTCGTGAGCCAACTGAAAAGGGTTCATAGATGTACGTGAGTGAGTCAAACGATTACTACTACTACTACATCGTTCACAATGACGACGAGGGATCGACCGTTCGAGCCCTCGGGAATGACCAATCAGAAAGCGACTTTCACTCCCTCGTCTCTAACAACATATATAATATCACCATTGGAAGCCGTAATTGCGTCATCTTTGGAAATCACATCACGTTGGCACGTTTCGTCATTGTAAAACGTCATTCAAACGGCATACTCGTTTCTAATCGTTTTCTTATTCATAATGATAACGATCGTTTTATGTCGAATCAATTTTCATACGAAATAACAAACTTTTATTCTTCACTTTGACTTATAAAATATCAGAAAAATATTTAAATTAAATAGATATTCTCTCGTTGGGGTAAGAATTTATATTGCATATACATGTGAGATTATATATATGTGTATATATAAAATCGACATAATTTTAAGAAAAATAACTTCGATTAAATCTAGCAAGATCGCAATCAATAACTGCATTGGTTGTATGATTATATCGGAAAATAATAGCCTTAAGGTGATATATTGACGTGTTATCGTCGTACAACGCACCTTGAACGCATTTCATTATTTATCTTATTGTCGGTGAATATACGAGCATATATGAATACTTAAATACATGCATATTGATACACAAAATGCCGGAAGTTCCTATCGCGAAGGGGTTAAAATATTATAGTAAATCCTTGAACGCGATTATTTTTGAAGGAAAAAAAAAAAAAAAGAAAGGAGGAAGAAGAAGAAGAAAAATAAAATAAAAGAAATGTGGCTCGAGGTGATCGTACGAGGAAGAAAATTATACAATACGACAATTTCAAATTTACCGCCTTTTTCTTCTGTCAACAATTCATTTCTTATATTATACAAATCGATCCCGATCATTATGCAAATTTGATTATCATTTATTTGATCTTTTCCATTTGAATGATTTTCGACAAGGTCTTTCTTCAATAATGAAATTTACTTATAAACGTAAGAAATACCTTTCGTTGTCTTACTCGCGCAATATCGATTTTAACGTACGACCATTGCACGAGGGATTTGATGTCGAGACTATGGTGAAACATTGAAGCGTATTTACGAAAGATGGATACGAGTTATCGTCATTATCCTAGACGACTAGGATTGCATGATGCAACGATTTCAGGAAATGCCTGGGATGCAGGAACAATTTGACCTTTTTGTCCTTCCCGAGGACAAGCATTTGGTAACTCTCTCCATACGCAGAGTGCATTCACCGATAGCGCCTCGGTTAACGGTCTGTTCTCTAGGTAGGGGAAATTCTCCCCCACACTTCTATACCAAGTTCAAACTACCTCCGAGTAAAGCAGCTATAGTTCGCAGGAACGAAATGTCTTCCTTTCTTATATAGGTACTCTATTCAATAAAAAAAGATTTTCAAGAAATAATTTGATTGCATACATAAAACAAAGTTATTTCAATCTTCCCATAAATTGACATGAATTTATCGCAACTAAATTGATATAAATAAACGATCACATCAATGATAAATAATGTTTATTTTACACAGTAACGTTCGATAATCGTTCCAATTTCATTCCAAGGATTTAAATGAAGATTATTATCAATGATATTATCTCATTTCATTCATTAAATATGATCGACAGTATGAGAAAAAAAGGATCTGTCATTCGATAAAACGATAATACAAGTAAAGAGAGGAAAGTCATCATAATTGTAAGACCAACATGTGTGTTATATGTGTTACTAACACGAGATAAAAAAAAAGAACGAACGAAACGAGGTGAAAAGGAAAAGGAAAATTGTTGCAAGAAAGAAAAAAAAAGAAAAGAAAAGAAAAAAAAATTTCGCTATCTTTATCGGAATAGGAAAAATAAAAAGTGACGATTGTCTGGCGCCTTGTGGGACTTCCCCGAAAGGCGCTAGATTTGAAAATTATTACGCCGTCAGTGATACCCCTTCTTCTAATCTCTCTTGCCCCCTCCACCCAATGGGCGCACCCCCACTTTTCTCTTTCATGGGAAGGTTGTCCATTGGCACTGTAGGTGCGCGGCATGGATCAGTCGCTTCTGTAGCAGTAGTACCAATATAAAACTCGTTGGGTGCGCTTAAAAGTGTTACACGAAGTATCGAACTCGTTCAGTTCGACGCACGTTCGACTTACGCCGAAAAGCAAGAGTAAAAGAGATAAATAGAGAAAGAGAGAGAGACAGACAGACAGACAGACATAATTCAAAGTCAAGAGAAAGCGACCGAAAAAAAAAAAAAAACGGAAGTGTCCATAGGATCCAATCAATTCGTTCGTTTTTTTCCTTTCGGTCGAGAGTGTATTTACGAAATTTCTTCCACACCTTTCTTTTCCTCATTTCGTTCGTTATTACAACGAAGTACTAAAAGAAGAAGAATAAGAATAAGAGGAAGAGGTTGTTCCGAAAAATAGTAAAAACGTCTGTGAAAAAAACATCTCATCTGCTAGCCCCGCTCTGATAGCTCGTCCTGTCTCATCATCAAACAGCAACACCAACCAACCAACCAACCAACCAACCAGTAGATTATTATTTTTCTTTTTAAACCGTTGTAACTAAACTCGGAAAACACGAAGTTCCTCGAGGGTAGCTCGACCTTGGGCGACGAAGGGAGAGCAATGAAGACATCCACCTTATCTTCCAACGATCCGATCAAGCAAGAGGTGAGGTGTAAGAAGGCAAAAGATAGAAAGAGAGAGAGAGAGAAAGAGAAATAGTATATGTGTGCGGGCGTGTGTGTGTGTGTGAGTTGATGTATAGATGAGAAAAGGGAGGAGAGACAGAGGAGAGACGGGGAGAGACAGACAATCGATAAAGAGAACACACTTTGGTACGTTGGCACGTTGGAATATAACCAAGTGTTCTCTACTGTGTACCCCGCCCCCCCCCCTCACCCCCTCCCCCTATCCCACTGCTTTTACCGCTCACATTCCCCGGCTTATTACGCAGGAATCTTAATTATTCTTCTTTACTTTTTGTAAATCTTCTTCACGAAAAATTAACTTGAATACATTGATTTGTATAATCGGTGTCTGTCATTGGTAGGAATAAAAATATTTGGAAAAAAAGGGGGGTTAAGCCATTGAAAATACGGGATGACATATTTTCTGTGTATGTGTTAATAATTAATTATTCTCGTAATAATTCGTTATTTTCGTAATGATTATATATATCGTCATTCGTCGTATTATTTAAGATTATAGATTTTTTGTGTGGATTATTATTGTTATTAAAAGGCATGTTGTCAGTATGTCATACTGATTAGTCTTCTTTCTCTTGTCCGATATTTCGATTATTCGATTTTCGAAGGACGAATAAATCGAATTCTTTTAACCAGTTAAGTGTGTTTTGACGACTATATCCGTCATCGCTTGATTATCGCGACACACATTAGGTATATGATTATGATGATTATAATAATGATTATATAATCCTTTCGGCAAAGTCCGTTGATGAGCGCGGTATTTCTCGAGTCCTGCGCATACTTTATACTTTTTCAAATGAAATTAAGCTATTTCGAGTCTCCTTACTTTTGTTTTTTTTTTTATATATATATATTTTGTGTGGCACGTTAATTATATCAAAAAATTGTTTCATTATTTTAAAAATTATTACTATTTGAAATATATATTTAAGTATTGAAATTTTTCGTTAGAGTATGCATATTTTTGTATTTATTTACTTTAGATATTTTTGAAATACATTTTCCCCGTAATTTTCAAATCACACGACGAAATGAATAACTTAAAAATAATATCGAGAGTATTATCAATAACGATCGTTTGTATTAACGAATACAATAAAGCTTTGTTCGAGAAGATTGCATACCGATCGTCACGCATAATAATTAACAATGATAATGATAATAATATATATCACACGCAATCGTTTACTTTATCTACAAGTTTCTAGGAAAAACTGCAGAAATGTGTTTTAATTGGAAATGAACTCGAGAATATCTCCGAATGACGAATGCAATTTTTACATCAACCAAAGAGAGAAAGAACAGATTACGTGGAAAGTAATACGATCATTAAAATATATTAACCGTTTTTATATCAATCGAGTCAAGAGTCCAATTTTTTCTCATGAATCATTATGAATCATAATAATGATTTATCAAGTTTGTCCTAGTCTAATTTATCTAGGCTTCTTTACTAATCTTTGTAAACTGAGATTTCACACAAAAATCCTCATTTGACGAACATCTTAACGCACATTCGAATACAAAGGTTATCACAATTATTTGACTACCCCAATTATTAGTGACCCATGAAATATATTTCTTTTTAATTATGCGATCCAACGTAACATTAAATATCGTAGAATCATACGTTTCATATTCAAACTATTTAATATTATAGTGAACGATTTCAAATGCGTTATCATTTTTGTGTTGATGACAAGTATCCAAAAAAAAAGAAAAAAAAAGAACTATAAGATATTGTGACATTGAACTTTATTATATGTTACATATCTCTCCACCGAGCTTACGATCTTTCCATCAATCAACTATAAATTAAATTAACCAGTTAACTGTGTTGATCATTTTGCAATGTGCGTCCCAATGTGTGTTGCGATAATCAAGCAATGACGGATATGGTCGTCAAACATACTTAACTGGTTAAACAAGCAACGAGTGAGAGAAGAAATATGCTTTATCTTTTAAACGAATAAATCATACGCAAATTACGTTAGATTATGATAACGATCGATACCTTTTTTTTTAACTGAATAATTTTAACGCGTTATGCCGCACGTTTATTATGCGAATTAGTGGGTGCATTGGCTTACTAGCGTGCAAGTATATTATAGTAATCGACGAGAATAAGTATTTACATCCTGTATCGTTTTTCTTTGTATCTGTTCATTCATGAACCGTCCTTATTGGCTGGCTTACGGGTGTGCCAACAACGTCACAAGAAGATCGATGTTCAAACCCCTCCGAGAAGGGAAATTTGAGATTTGATAAATAGAAGTCACGTGTGATCGGAAACCCAGCGCGCCAAATGTCACGTGATTCAAATAATTTTTCAAAGGAAACGAGATAAAATATCGTTTCGTTGCATAATAACGAGCGGGAAGAAGAACAAGGGAAATGAATATTCGTATTTTAAACAAAAGTGATATTCGTGATTGATATAAAAAAAACACCTACGCTTTCTTGGGTGGAAAATTTTGTTTCAGATATATTAGTTTAAGAAATAAACACCTGTCGGTGAATTAATTCGCGTTATCTCGACAAAATTCCGAAAGATCGTGAATTTTTTGCGACATAATTCGCATATATTTGCATTAAATTAATTCCAACGAATCAATTAACGCACGTTAAAATCGAACGATGTTGATTAAATACACAGTATAGATGTAGATTTAACGTATCTGATATAAGTATAGCTTGGAATGAATCGAACGATTGAAAACTTTGTGTTATTTTTCATTTCTAGTTTAAATGTCGTTTGAGGAAGTACAATTATGCAATAGGAAATTTCACATTATTTTATTTCGATATTTTTTTTTTTCCTTTTTCAATCTTAATGATGATTATGTATATATATAATAGGAAATTCGTGGAAGAACGTTTAAAGAACGTTATTCATTTGTCGGATAATTAGTCTATTAGTTTATCTATATATAAGTAAATTAGAAATTAATTATAATGTTGTATTTAACTTATTTATTTTCTTATCTAAGATACGAGATGCCTGCAAGGGTCTGGTTCTCTCTAATGATCAACTCAAAATGGTTATGGAAAGGCTCTTAAAAGAGATTAATAGAGGACTCGCAAAGTCGACTCACGAGGAAGCCATTGTGAAATGCTTTACCACATACGTACAGGATCTTCCAAATGGCACAGGTAATATTTTTCGGTGCAACAGGTATATATATAATTCACAAATGATAGAATAATAAAAATATATAAATACAAATCTATGAAATTGTGTGACAACGTTTATTAATAATATTCTTTCTTTGTTTTATTTTCGTATAGAAAAAGGTCACTTTTTGGCATTGGATTTGGGTGGTACCAACTTTCGTGTTTTGCTGATCACACTGGACGGCATGAGCTTCGATATGAAGAGTAAAATCTATGCAATACCACAAAGTCTTATGTTGGGTACTGGTACTCAATTATTCGATCATATCGCACAGTGTCTAGCTTTGTTCGTGAATGATCTAAATCTCCAGAATGAAATACTACCACTCGGTTTTACCTTTAGTTTTCCATTGTCTCAGTACGGTCTAACAAAAGGCCACCTTGTAAGATGGACAAAGGGCTTTAATTGTAGCGGAGTTATAGGCGAGGATGTAGTCGCTCTGTTAGAGGAAGCCATCGGAAGAAGAAATGTACGATTTTCACTTGTTTAATACTTACTTCTTTATTTCCAAATTACTTTTGTTAATTTAATCGATTGAAAATTATTCTTGAAACGCGAAACATTGTATATATCCATCGTGTGTCGCGATATAATTGGACGATTCTTGACAGTTACAAGAATCCCATTAAAGTCGTTACAATTTTATACAAAATTACAGGATATTTAAACTCTGCAGGACGTCAAGATCGATGTTTGTGCCATCTTGAACGATACCACTGGTACCTTAATGTCCTGTGCTTGGAAGAATAGAAATTGTCGCATTGGCTTGATCGTTGGTAAGTTTCATTCAACACAAATTCTAATTCTAATTCCATGATCCTCAAGATTATATTTTTCTTGTTCTCATTTGACTTCGAATAAATAATTGTTTCTCTTTGCACAGGAACCGGAACCAATGCTTGTTACGTTGAGAAAACGAATAACGTTGATTGTGCAATTCCTGGAAATTACTCGGAGAATAAGCAACACATGTTGATCAATACAGAGTGGGGTGCTTTTGGCGAACAAGACACTCTCGACTTTGTTCTCACAGAATTTGATCGTTCGATCGACGAGAAATCGATCAATCCTGGAAAACAATTGTTCGAGAAAATGATATCGGGTATGTACATGGGCGAACTTACGAGGCTCGTTCTTGAAAAGCTTGTTAACGATGGTCTGCTCTTTGGTGGCAAATGTTCGAGTGATCTCAAAAAGAAAGGCAAATTTTTCACCAAATACGTATCAGAAATAGAAAAGTAAGTAAAACGAAGCCTGAAATTTCTTCTATTATATCGTTTTTTTTTTCATTTGTTTTTCGCTAATATCGAATTGACTATTTTCAGTGATCCTAAAGGTAAATACACGAATTGCCGTGATATCTTGATGGAATTAGGTCAACGTAATGTTTCGGATCAGGATTGTGAGAACGTTAGGTATGTTTGTTCGGTTGTTTCGAGGAGGGCAGCTCATCTTGCTAGCGCTGGTATCGCTACGCTTTTAAATAAAATGGATGAACCTCACGTAACCGTTGGTATCGACGGTTCGGTCTACAGATTTCATCCCCACTTTCACGATCTTATGACCGCAAAGATCAGTGAATTGACGAATTGTCCAGTAAGTTCTAAACAAAACAAAAAATATATATATATATAATATATTAGGGAGTGAACCACAAAAGTTCGTGAGTTTATTGTATTGTTTCAGATAGTGCAATTTTGTAGAAAACGATAAAATTACTTTAACATACAAGCGAAATATTTATTTAAAAACGCACGATCTTTTTTTGTTTCACATTAATAAAATGATACGTATATTCGTCCCGTGTAATATCTTTTATATTATAAACGCGACGAGTATATGTTACAAATTTTAATACATATTCAAATTATAATTATATGAAAGAAAAAATGGACCACAAAAAAAAAAAAAATAAAAATAAAAAAATTTCTTTCAACAGTTCGACCTAATGCTCTCAGAAGACGGAAGTGGTCGTGGTGCGGCGTTAGTTGCCGCGGTGGCCTCGCAAAAAATGTGAAGACTTTGGCTGTGCCACATCAACTACTAAGCATATATCAAATTATACGAAGTAATGATAACGATTTGACACGAGCCGATACTCGAAACACACGTATACATACAGAAAGATAAGAAGAACACGTAATTTACGCACGTAGCAGATTTACACGGATACATATGAAGAGAGTGAGAGAGAGAGTGAGAGAGAGAGAGAGACAGAGAGTGAGAATGAGAGGGAGAGAGAGAGAGAGAGAGAGAGAGAGAAAAGTCTTGTACATAGAGCACAAAAGTAGCCTAGATCGTCAGCCATAACATGGCAAGGGCTAGCCCGTGAGAGATGATTATTAGTTTATAAAAAACAAAAAAGAAAGAAAGAAAGAAAAAAAAATAACCAAAAAAACAAAACCTCTACTTATGACCTCGACTTTACGTACTTACTTATACACCATTGCACAGGATCTTTTACCATTAACTTATTGTTAAGAGGCAAGCGTATAGATAAAAAAAGACAGGGCATATAGAACATATATTTAAATACACATAAAAATGTTTGAGTTAGTTTAACGAAAAAAAAGTAACGGCGAGAGATCTGGTTAAAAAAATAAAAAGAGAAAAAAAAAGAGATTTAAAAACAATATATAATATAATATAATATTATTCGTCGGCTCCCTTGGGTATCTGAACAAATAAAAAAAGAAAGAAAAAAATAACACAAGCGTATTATAAAAATTTCTAAAAAAAAAAAAAAAAAAGAAGATACGTCTAATTAATCGCATATTTTGATACATCGAAAAATGTAAAATAATAAACCATATGATTTTCGCGTAACTCTCGCGACAAAATTTCAAAAATCGTTTTACTGCCAAAGGGGCTAGCTGAGGATCGTATAGGTGAATTAACTGTGTGACCGGGATTGAAAACGAAACGCGATATAATTTATTAACTAATAAGAAAATAAAAATAAATAAAAAGGAGAATATAAGGTGAAGAAAAACATACGCAAAGATAAAAATGAAAATGAAGAATCGTTGCTAAAACCGATCGCCGAAAAAGAACAAAAAGAAATAGAAAATATATATATATGTATATATATATGTATATATATATATGTAGAGAGAAAAATAACCGGATAAGAAAAAGTAATAGAGGGAGATAAATTAGGAAAAGAAAGTGTGCATTGAAAAATTGCTGAGTAAACTGCCAAGTTGACAAAGTTTTGCGTCGTTTGAAATATATTTTTAGACTTTTTAGACTATTATTTAGATATACGATTGTGCTTTCATAGAACTCGCATTTTCGAATCAACGTTGTTCATTAAATATCGAAACGTTCAAATCCGTGATAATATTATTCCGATCACCTCGAAAATACGATCAATATTATTTTCTCTCTCTTTTAAAGTTGTACGAGCATCCGAAGAAGATATTAATAAAAATAAAACAAAAACATACATGCACACACATACACGTACACGAACAAAAAAGATATGGATATATATATATTTTTATTTATTTCACGTAGCTTCGATGTTTCTCTCTTTTTTTATTCTTTTTTTTTTTTTGAGAATCTATTCTATACTTTTTGTCACTGTTTTTAATTAAGGATAAATTTTAATGAAAATTTTGATGGATTTAATATAAATAGAAAATTCTTTTCAATTTTTAATCGAAATTTTGTTTCATGTATCCTATTTAATCTAATAACTTAACAGAAAAAAAAGAGAGAGATAAGAAGAAAGAGAGAGAGAGAGAGTGTGAGAGAGAAAGAGAGAGAAAAGATAGCAATTATTCAATAGTCTCCAACTTCGTGGAGTAAACAGAAATATAAACGTAAAATAGTAATGTTCCTACGTTAGTCGTATGCAATGACACTCGACGTTTCAAGATATAATGAGGAGAAGAATAATCTGAAAATAATGAGAACATTTAAATAAATTCGTGAGATTTACGTGTTTAACACCAACGGCCAAAATTGTTCCCACGGAGGATCGTTGAAAAGAAGAAAAGAAAGAATTGAAAATTGAAACCAAAAGGAAATAGTTGAGCATAAATTTGGTTGCCATATTGTATTCGTCGTACATATTCTTATCGTTAAATACGATAAGACATAATGGCATAGAGACAGTGATAAAGATCGAATATAACAAAATGACCTACCAACGTAAAAGCGGTATTTTTTAGTGATTGTCGTTATCGTTGATGACATTTTTTTTTTGCTTTTTTTTTTGTCTTTTGTCTTTTTCAAACGTTGTCAATTTTTCTATCACATCATTAGTTCTTCCAATCCTCGTTCCTTCTTCTTTGCCTATCTATCATCACGATGCTCCGACGATTGCGAAGACTTAAGTCGGTGAGTATTTAATTAAACAGACGAATGTAACATTTGATCGTTCTGAAATTCTTTCTGAATGAAATTAAAAATGAGTTTCTATCGATTATGTTAAATTGCGTAAATATAATAGCGAATCGTTCGGCGCTGGGCTGTTGGATTTGAAATTTTAACGATGAAACATAAAATTTGTATACCTGAAAACACAAAACGTGATTTATTAACATAATATTTGATATAGTTGGAAGATATTAAAATAAATCTAATTAAAATTAGTACATTATAATTTAATAGATTAAATCGATATATAACTACGATTAATGCCGACGATGAGAAAAATTTAAGTTAAAAAACAAAAATAAATATACATACGTATATATANNTATATATATATATATATATATATATATATATAAAGAAATAAAAAAGAAAAATTAAAAAGACAAACAAAAATAAAGGCGAATTATATAATTAAATGTTGAAGCGCGCGCTGCTGCTGGTTCATTTGTGTGAACAGGTGCATCGAGGAGATATATCACTGAAAATGTAGGAAAAGCGTCTCGCTCTCGAGAATAAACGTTTTTTCTTTTTACATTTAACGTAACGACATTAAATGATGTTTACTTGTACACTTGACATTACGAAATAAAAGATCTTAAATCATAATGCATTCGTTATTTCGAAAAAAAGAAAAAAATAATAATAATAATAAATAATTAATAAAAATATACATATTCGATAGATTTAATATAAAACAATACAACAGACTTATTAATTATTGTTAATTGTATTTTAGTTTATCGAAATTAAAAAAAAAAAAAAAAACAATCTTACCAATCGACGTGAACGCGTCCGTGTCGCGCGTTCATCTACGTGTTATAAACAGATACATACTTTATCTTAAACATTGTCTCGGTGCTACCTCTAGCGTCGAAAAATCGAACTAACGCGTTTCAAAGCTTCGGTGGGGGGGATAGTACGGACAGACGTACAAGGAAATAAACAGAGAGAGATAGAAAGAGAGAGAGGGAGACGCACACATTGCGGTTTGACAAGCGACAGATAATGTTGTGTTCCGCGAAACCACGAGAAAATGATGCTGGTATTGGTTTAGCAGCGCCTTTGATTCGATCGATCAACATTTCGACAAGATTCTGGGCAAAGTAGAACAATGATTAGCGGCATACACGTCGCCTTAAAAAATGCTATCGACGTGGTGAGTGATAAAATGATAATATAGTTCTAACCATTTCCTCGAGGCATTTTTATTTTTTTTTTTTTTTTACTATATCTCAGCGTTATTCATGAATTTAGAGATTGGTAGAAAGAAACTTGTATACGTTTGTGTTTGTTGTCAAATATAAAATAATTTCAAAATCATTTCATTCTCGCAACGTTCATCGATCGACCTTTCGTAATTGTCGCGCACACGCTCTTCAAGGTCTCTCTATCCCTCTCTCTTTCTCTCGTTCTCTCTCTCTCTCTCTTTTTCTCTACAGGCCTCCAATTGTATTCCTTAACGCACGTGTTATTTATTTTCCTTATACGCCTTATCCTACAAGGAAAAAAATGACAAGCATTCAATTTCATTTATCGTTTTATATTTCAATATACAAGCTTAATAGCTTATATTGATTGTGATCTATAAATACCTTGTTTATAACGATTGGTTGCAACATAATACCGTAATGCGACATCGAAATTGCAGATTCCTTTTTTCTTGTTACGTAATTTAGTACTTATATATATATATCTTTAAGCAACGTTATATATAACGTTTAGTTTCATATAGATTTCTGTCTCATGTCTCAAGTTATTAAATGTTCAGTCGCGTATGATTTTCAGATAGCACCACCGGCCACGCCGTTGCAAGACTTCACCTATCACTGGAAGCAGCTTATGAACTTTTATGTCAATCACTTGAACGATTGTAAAGTTCCGATCCAATCGACCGGTATACCAAGACATCTCGAAAGATTACTTGAGATTTTATTAGAAGAAGAAAAAGATGGTAACGATCCTGGACCATGTTTGGAATATTTATTACAGCACAAGCTTTTGGATCTGTTAGCTTCGTTAGCTACAGCCGAAACCCCACCTGGTATGAGAGTGGTCTGTCTTTCATTTCTAAGAAAATTACTTAGCCGATCGAAATATCCTTTGCTACATCACACTTCGATCTACTCGCCTACACAACGTCTGATCGCCCTTTGCAATGGAAATTCACCGTCTCCGATCGAAACCGAAGAGATTCAATTTCTCTTGACGTTATGTTTCTTAGTATGCAAATATCCGCACGTGACGAACATAATAAACGATGTATCGATGTTACACAAGCCAAGTAGCTCGAATCGTTCGAGCTCGGAGAGATTGGAAGTCGAGAAGGTTACTTACGTTCCTAACAGAAAAAAGAATAATTCTAATCCTCTTTTCGAGCCTTTAAAAACTCAAGCAATAGCCCTGGTAAATCCGAATCTTTTGAATCCTGAAAATAATAGACGAAAGTCATTGTGTTCTAATCTTAGCTGTATCAAGATCGACCTACCGCATAACTCTTCCACACGCTCGAATGCATCTACTTCTTCCAAGGATACGGAAAATATATCCCAATCCTCGAGCCCGCTCACACAAAATGCTTACTGTGATTCGTCCTCGATTATGAATCTGTTAGATGATACACAAAATAATTCAAATATTACGGATAAGCTTAGAGAAGAACTCGACAATTCTGTAACCGAGATAGAAACATGTTTGCAGAATACAAAAGACTTGAGACTCACCGAAGATTGCAATACATGTGACAAGACAAATAATCCAGTTGAGAACAATTGCGGCCAAAGTCTTTTGATACCTTCGCGAATACCAGTGAAGTCAAAGTGCCTTCTATTGGAAGCCCTTATGAGCTACGTGAACAGTGCTGTAAATAATAGTTTTTATTTTATTCAATTATCTTATGAGGACTTTTATATATATATATATATATATATATGGGATATCTTTTAACGATCTCTTTTTATTCTAGGACAACACGGTTAGGGTGAGAGCTTGTGAAGGAATCATGGTCTTAGCCTCGCTCGAAGATCCCACGTTCGCTCAAATGGTAGCACAAAGTGATTTACCGTCAATTATTACTAGTCGTTTGGAAAATCTTTTCAATGCCGTACCAGCTCACGTAGATCCAAATGAGGTCGATGTTATCGAAGTAACGTGGGGTTTGGATTCGCCATTATGGACGAAGGAAAAAAAATTTCCCGGTTGTCGACAAGTCGCAGCTTTTTACATGTGGTTTGATTATTGCAATCAGCTTATAAGAGAAGCATCTACGGATGTAGCTAATGTATTGGCGAAGCACATTAGGATAAATTTCTTTGAAAAGATAGTAACACCTGCGTTAGCCGATCATCAAGTTATCCTAGTAACAGCACTTATTACAAAATGTTGGAAAGAACTTGCATCATCTACATTATGTACAGGTATATACATACGTCTTTGCACACGAGATGATTATTAATTTTTATAAAAGAATATAAAAGAATACAAGTTTATTTTGAAAATTCTTAGAGGTGAGCTACTGGCTTGTCGGGCATAACAGGCATCCAGAAATTCCAAACGTTTGTACATCTCCAGTTTTGTATAGATTAATAAATAATTGTTATACGGATAGCGACGAACTGACAGTGGAAACGTTAAAATTGTTCGAAGAAGTAATAGATAAAAGAAACGAACATACCCTCCATTGTCTCGCATTAATGTATTTAACAAGTCGAGGGTATTACGATAATACAGCAGCAGATAGTGCCATCACATCTTGGAGCGATGAAGAAGATGAAAGAGAAAGAGAAAAAAAAAGTACATTAGATCTTTCTTATGAGCAAAGTCACAGCAGAACTTTAGCTCCTAGTAATATACATAGGATTGTCAATTGGTGAGGTTTCATCATTTTTTTTCTAGAATGTTTAAATACACACTTCTTTTTATACCTTATTAGAACATGATTTTGCTTTAGCTTCTTATCTCTGGTGCCACGCTATCTTCAAACCGATCCTGATATCAATAGTTACGAAAGATGCATGGTTGTTCTGGAAAAACAATATTCTACTGTATTAAGGGATTGTTTTTTAATGGCATGGCCTTTGGAAGCAGTAACGCATGATGACTCTGCTAGTTCTGATTCCAGACCAGAAGCTGATCACGGTGCTACACGATTTTACATGGGACCTTTTTTAACTATGCTCTTCGATAAAGTTTGCAATATGTCTAAGCAAAAATATGAAATTAACTTGCAACTTACGGTCGTAATTTCTAGATTAACGCTCTTACCGCATCCATACCTGCATGAATTCTTATTAAATCCTCTTTTACCATTAGTGCCTGGCACAAAAAGTTTATTTACTTGTCTCCAGAAAGTAGTCAAGCAGCTAATTAACGAGATACCAAAGACCACTGAATCTAAACACAAATTAAAAGAAACACGAGAGAGATTATTGGACTTTTGTATTCATGATGTGTAAGTAAATAATTAAATTCCCTTACCTGGCTTATTAATATGTGACGAAAACAATATTTTGACGATATTACAGGGAAAAGGAAAATACGTTGCTGGAAAGCGTTGTAGTTACAGAAGAATTTTGTAAGGGACTTGCTGCAATAGCTTATGTCAAATATCATCATTCTATGTGATACCTAATATAAAATGAACAATTTTAGTTGTTATTGATTTACCGTTGAATGTATTATTATTGTTATTGTATTATTTTAATTAAGCTCAGATAAAATATCATTTCTAAGATCAATTTGTATTATACCAATCGGCATTTATATGTATATAACACAATAATAATGTGTGTATATATATTTATATTTATTCATACGTACAAACAACACATATATAAATTATTATTGAAAGCCGTAGCTATAGTATTTAATCCAAAGGTCTCTAATGCTTAACACAATATATCTATCTAATAGAAAAAAAATTATTGAAAATAAAATTTTTCTAATTATACGACTTTGAAATGATAACATAACCTTCATTGTGGAAAATATAACTAACAGATGCTCGAAAAAATTACTTCTCCATGGAAAATATATCTAATTATTCTATTTCAACACTTATTAATAATATATTTTTTCATTTAACCGGATTCGAGTGTAAAAATCAATTAATTATCAGAGTTAATAATGAAAAGTTATCAACAAATGGTGACTTGTACATTCTAGCTAACCTCACATTATGGAAGAATCTTTTAGTGGTTAAGTTTGATTGTAATAATTATTGTAATAATATTTTACAACATTATGCACATACAAGAGGTATTGAATTAGAACAAGTGGACGAAAATTATACTAATGAAAAGGTAAAATTAAATGGGAATAAATCTATATTAAAATATTATTTTACCTATAGCTATCAAATGTTTTCATGTTTAAGTAAAGCAATGTTTTTATGTTTAGGTTTTACAATCATTCATTTTAGCTAGTGAAACTTGGAATTACAAGATAACAAAATGTATTTTGCAAAACGAACGAGTTTGCTTATTTCTAGACAGACCATCTGTCATTAAAACTATTATAAGTACAATCATCGAAAAAGGTTCATCGTTTGGAAAAAACCCATCTACGAATAAAGAGATGTGCCTAACATTTCATCCAGATGTACAATCAGAATTAACTAGTACAAGATTAAAATTAATAAAAGATGTTAGTGAAAGAATTTTGGATTTGCAAGGATATCGCATATGCAAGAAAGTTTGCTCGAATTCTATTGTATTAACCAATAAGTTGAATGGAAAAAGAAATGAAGATTGTAATACATATTTGTGTGGAGTTGTTAAAAATTCAGAAACAAATACCAAAGAAACAATGTTTACTTGGAACAAGTATATACATTATAAAATTAAGATGATAAGAGAACAAAACGAACACAAATATCTTAACGCAGAAAAACAAGATACAAATTCTTTCCTTTGGAATATGGCAGAAGCTGCCATCACTTTTGAATTATTAACTGTTAAACCAATTCGTCCTGTTTTCGTTAATGTTCGCACAAGTGCTAATAGAAGTCTTACCAATACAAAAGGTATGGTAATATTTCAAATATTAATCAAATATAAATCAAATAGGTATGGTATTTATCTTTCTCAAGGATATTATTATAAATATAGTTCGAAGACATAAGTTAACAAACTGTTACTATTAAAAATACTGTTCCAGGTGTACTTTTCATATTTTACAACATTGTTAGAATAGCAGCAATCATAGAAAAATATGATAAAGGTATATCGAACGGAGAGTATCCAGAATTACCAGATATCAAAACTGTAAATTTTTCTAAATTAAATGATGAGGTATACTATTTTTTGATATTTCCAACACTATTTTTCATAATTTTTAAAACTATACATTTTGTAGGGTGAGTGGGAACTTATTTATAATTTCATGGTTGGATATTCCCAAGTCATAGAAAACAGCGTCAGGCATATACCCACTTTTCAAATCTATCCACAAACTTTGTGTACGTTTCTATCAGGATTGTGTAAAAAATTTAGTATTTATTATAGCAAAATTAAAATTTTAACGGTAAGTTGACTATTATTATTAATTATAAATCAATACATGTAATTTAATAATCGTTCATTCATTACAGGAGGGATATAAGCATTTGCATTCAAAATTAATAGCAAGAATTTATATGTTAAAAGCATTGAAAATTATTTTACAAAATGGTCTCGCGATATTAAATATAAAATCCGTTTCTCGAATGTGAGATTTATTTAAAAAAGTATTATCGGTTCGAAAAATTTGTAATAATTTTAATTAATTAAATAATTGCATTTTTATATATATATATAATAAGTATTATTGAAATCAATCTTGCAACAACTTTTCATATCTTTTACATATGTCGGATAAACAGAATATAAAAAAGAATGAACCATCGTATTCATTGACACCTTTTGAAGAGAACTTAAAATGAATAAATAAAAAGTAGAGTAGAAAATCCCATTTTATTTAATGGGATTTTAATTTATTCGCCGATAGAATTTCAATAATAATAAAATAAAAAGTTATCTCTCGCGCGTTGTGTCAATTGCTTCGACACTTGTTATCATAAAGATTAATCTCGATGACTACTCGAGGAAAGATCTTAGGCGCGATTCTTATCAGATCTTTCTCCGATGAAGTTCGATCGTTAATCCGACTATACTTACGTCAGAAAACAGGAAAAACAAATAAGTATTCTTAATTCTTCGATGCACTAATTGTAAATGAAACAAATGTACTCGTTAAAAAATAGAGAACAATAAAAAGGATATGTTTAATTTCAAAATGACGTTTGTCCATTAAAAAATTCGAAAAGGTCGTTTCTCGGAAACTTTGAAAATCGCAGGAAAAATCTTATGGCGCGAAAGATGGCGCGATTACGAACGCTCGATTAGGGAAGGTATACCATACCTATACGCTAAGAGAAAAAAAAAACAATTTATCGATTATTTCGAAAGTTAATATTAATCAATAATCGTGCGATCGTCGTTGATGATTTTTAAATTGTCAACAAGTTAAGTTTTTTTAATGAGAGATATATATATATATATATGTAGATAAGAAAAAAAAATAAGATTAAAAAGGTAATCCGTTGGAAAGGGGGATGTATGTTTATTTAATAAGGATAGTAACGTCTGGAAAGTAAATGGGGAGAATTAGGAAGGAAAATCGTTGGATAAAATATTATTTTAGCGGGAAAGAAAATGGTAAGAAGATAATGGAAAGGAGTAAGGAAGAGGGTCAGACTTGGAAAGGGATTGTCGTCGTGCATGGAAAGACGCACGCACGATAGCGTGCAACCGAGCGAGGCGAGGGACACGGCCAGCTGTTTGTTTTGTTTTCGGGCATGAGATTCACGTGACACCACCGGTGCTGGTGGCGGCTCGCGCGGTAGCGCCGTATCAAAGAACGCGATTGGGCGAGCCGTTGCATTCGCGCACCATTCGGCGAATCGTAGGGGGCGTTAGAAGGGAGGCCTGCTGCTTCTGCGGTGCAGAAACGTTTGACATCGATAAATGCGTGAGAGTGCTCGCGAAGTGCGGAGGTACCAGGCCGTAATTCGTTCGTCGGCTCCTCGTCGTCGTCGTCGTCGTCGTCGTCGTGGTGGTTGTGGTCGTGGTCCTCGTTGTCCTCGTTGTAATCGTCGAGGACTCGTACTGGGTTAGTTATCGTTAACGTCGAGGACGTGATCAACATCCTCCTCGTAGTTATCGTCGGGTCGTCCTCCTCGTCTTCCTCGTCCTCGTCTTTGTCCTGGTAATCGTCTTCGTCATCGTCATCGGTGTCATTGTCGTTGTCGTCGTACTCGTTGACGTTAACGTCGGTGACGATGTCGTCGTCGTCGTCGTAGTTTTAGAGACCTGCTTTCCTTTGTTCTCTGACCAGAGTCCCCCCTCCTTCTCGTTGCTCGCGTAAATCTGTGCGGTGATAGTGCTCCGAAAGAAGTGTAGAAGTGTGCCGAGAATCGAGGTAGTGATTACGATCGTTGTTTTTACCTTTGTGTGCTCCTACGTCATCGTCATTATTCTCATCATCGTCATCGTCGTCGTTGTCGTCGTCGTCGTCGTTATAGCCGCGCGTATTCGTATGTCGTCGCGGTGCATGCGTACGAAAACGGAGCAAGTAAACGAGCGAGTTTAACGAATAGATGAGAAGTTTAATGTTTCTAGGCGGATTGAGATCAACTTGATCACGAGCGCGTCGGATTTTGCTTTCGAAAGGCGCGTTTATGGACGATAATTAGTTCCTTCTTTGATTTTGTATATTTCTACATATATATACGATATACATTTCTCTCTCCTTTATTCAGAGAAGAACACGTTAAACGTATAAAACGTATTATAATATACATGCTCGTAATGTGTTTGTCACGCGTAACGTTAACGTCAACGTTAAAACGTCAACAAAAATTCGCTCGAGATTAACACAACGAATGATTATTACTCTTTTCTATATTTTTCATTATATACTCATATATATATATATATGAATATATCCTCCATTTACGTAGGATATGTACAACACGTAGAATAAGGAATACACACATACATACGTGGGCGTGTACTCACGGTTTATTCCGCGCGCGCGGATTCGGCGGGCGGTTGCGAGCGAGCGACTTTCCGCTTGAGCCGCGCGGTGGCAGCGACGACGACGACAACGTAGACGACGTAGACGAGGACAACGACGTAGTTGACGACAACGTTTTTAGAACGTTAAAAACGAGAACGGGTGGCGGTATAACACGACCGTCGACAATTTTCAGTACGCACATGACCGTGATCACGCGCGCGTGACGACGATAGCTCGAAGGATCGCGCGTGGTTAAACTTTAGCGCGACTTTTTATTTTTTCTCTTTCTTTTTTTCCTTTTTTTTGTTTTTTTTTTTTCCCTTCCTATATACTCTCCTCGTTTATTTCATTTCTCGTACGTTCTATCTATCTACCTCTGCGCGAAATAAACAAATAAATAAATAATGAGATAAAGAGAAAAATATATAATACGGTTAGATAGTTTATCTCTTATGTCGTGTACGCATCTATATATATATATATATATATTTTGTATGCGCGCGTGTATGTTTATTCGCAGAGAGACAGATAGGTTAAGTGTTAGTAACGGTCAACAGGAATACGGTCGGATCTAAAAGAGAAAGAGGGAATGGGAGGAGGGAGGAGTTAGGTAGAAGGTAGTACGTGCGTTTTCGAGAATAGCACGAATTTTAGCCGCGAATATTCGACCGAGTCGCGGACCGAGTGTAGGCCCGCAGTTTCGCGTCGCGTGCGCGCTGTCGTTTTCAACTTCGAAACCAGGTACGAAAGTGAGAGAACGAGAGAGAATATATACGCGTGTATATGATGAGTGCGTCTCTATAGATATATATATAAAAGAAAGAGAGGGAAGAAGTTTAGAACGGGTAGGAGGGAGGAACGGTGGTGGTTCGCGAAATATCTCGTTCTTGGTCTCTCAAGGTCGAGCTACGGAACGGTACGTTAGTCGTCGTTGTGTGGTCGTCCCTCGTGCTCCTCGTGTATCGTTTCTCTCTCTCTTTTTCTTACACACACTCACACAACACTCTTTTACTCGTTAGAACGGGACGTGGTTTCTAGCCGTAGTTTATCATTTTATTGTCATTTTCTGTGGGTTACGCGTGTGGTTTTGGAAGAACTTTGACATAAAGAATGGGTCGGTAGTGTTGGAGAAGGAAAAGGAGGAGGAGGAGGAGGTGGAGGAGGAGGAAGAGGCGGTGGAGGACGACAATTTTTGGGAAGGGGGCGCAACACGGACGGTCGCGTGTGTGATTTTTTGGTGTTGTTGTTGTTGGTGTCAGTTTTCGTCGTCTAATTTATATTATTTTTCTTTTTTCTCGGGGGAAAATTCTAAATGTGGTGACGATAACAATGATAATAATGATGATAATGATGATGATGATGCAGCAGTAAATGCGGTGACGAGGGTTCGTGAAAGCAGAAGAAGAAAAAGAAGAGGAGGAGGAGGAGGAGGAGGAGGAGAAAGAAGCGGTGGTGGCGGAGGAAGAAGTGGTGGAGAAACAGAAGAAGAAGCGGCACAACGGGAATCGAGAAGAAGGAGAACCACTATTACGAGGGTTATAGCTGGAGAGAAAGAGACAGAGAAAAGGAGAGGACGGTGCAGAAGAGCCATCATCGGTGGTGTTGTGTAGTGGCGTGGGTAGTAACCGAAACGAAAGGGTGAAGGAGGAAGAGGAGGAGTGGAGAGGAGAGGAGAGGAGAGGTGAGGTGAGGTGTAGCAGCAGCAGCAGGTACTCTGCTGGAGAAGAGTTTTATAGCGCGCGCACGAAAGAGAACGTGACTTTTGGGAGAAAAGAGGGAAGAACAAGAAGAGAACAAGAAAACAAAAGAGGGAGAGGAAATAGAATAAGATAGAAAGAGAGAGAAGACAAAAGAGTCGTCGAATCCTAGTCGCGTGGTGAATTCTGTTGAACGACGACGTTCGAAAGAACCGCGAAAATAGAAAGAGGTGGAAGAGGAGGTGGAGGAGGAGGAGGAAGGGAGAAGAGGAGAAGAAGGAGAAGAAGAAGAAGAAACTCTGTAGATATAGGATAACATAAGAGGAAAGAAAAAGGATTCGATGCTCGTGGCGTGATCGCGAGGAGACGCCAAAGGGGAATAGAAACAGATAGAAAGAGAGAGAGAGAGTGACGGAGAGATAAAGAAAGAAAGAGAGAGAGGGAGAATAAAAGCGCGCGCTCGTTTGAAATCGTGGTTGTGGTGCATTGTGGTTATAAGCGAGAAAGGAGAAGGAAAGAGACGGAAGAGAGAAAGATAAAGATAGAGGTAGAAAGGGAGATAGGAAAGAGTGCGAGGGAGGCTTTGAGGCTTGGAGGTGGCGGCGGCAGCGGAGGGGGTGGAGGCGGGCAGCGAGAGCGGCACGGCTGCTCCCTCGTGCGAGTGTGCGTGCCTAGCGCGCGCGTGTGCTCCTGTTGTTGTTGCCGTCCTCCTCCTCGAGTGGTCTTCTTCTCCTTCTTGTCTTCTTCCTCGTCGTCGTCGTCGTCGCCGTCGTCGTCGGCGTCGTTCCTCCTCTTCTTCTTCTTCTTCTCTAGTATTAGTTGTTGTGCTCCTCGTGCTAGTGCTAGTAGTAGTAGTATTAGTAATAGTAGTAGTAATAGTAGTAGTAGTGGTGCTGGTGCGAGAGTCCTATTATCGTGACGAGAGCGACGTGTCGTCGTCGTCGTCGTCGTCGTCATCGTCGTCGCCGTGTGTGTTTCATCTACTCTCTTCTACTACGCAACAACAACTACAACTACAACAACAATACTCTATCTACTACATTACTAATAATAACGCCACCACTACTACTGCGTTAACTACAAAGTTACATACTACAGAAGTACTACTATCATCATCATCACCACCACCATCTCCTCTACGAATATCTAGTGCGCCGTCTTCGCCGTTGTCGTCGTCGTCATCGCCATTGCCATCGTCGCAGCCGACGTTTTCAACTTTTTTCTTCTTCTTCTTGTCCTTCTTTTCTTCTTCTTTTTCCTCTTCTTCCTCCTCCTCCTCCTCCTCCTCCTTATCTTTTACTCCTCGTGGATCCTTGTGGGAAGTAGTGAAAGAAAGAAAGCCGCTAGGATTGCGTCAAACCGAGAAAATATGAGCATTGCTGCCCTACTACAGGCCGCCGAGTATATTGAACGAAGGGAAAGAGGTGAGTTAATATTTTATTTTCTTATTATTTATATCAATTTTTCGAACTCCTTCTTCTTCTTCTTCTCTATACGCATGGATTGATAGATAGAACGCAGAACGTTGAATCGCGTGTTAACTGGCACAACCACGTGTTGTCGTTCGCGACAAGACCAGATGTTGTTTTCGTAAGGTCTGGTCTTTGTTAATTCGCGAGGCCTTCTTCCTCTCGTCGTAATCTTTCTTTCTCTCTTTATCGTACAGAAAACCGAATAATTTGGAACGTGACCTATGTCCTCGTCGATGTCGTCTTGCTCTGACTCATCGATCATCGCGTCATTCTTTTTGAAACGTTTCACGTGTTATCTTTCCTTTTCCGTAGTTTTTCTCGATTCTTCTATTATCACGTCTTATAGCTCGATTCTTCTTACTTATCTCTTATACGTAAATAATTTTCAAAAAGTAACGTTACAATTATTAATCCTATCAATCAACTTTTATTCTTAACATTTGGCGCGCTAGTTTCTTTTATTTTCGGCGGGAAATGTTCGCACATTTGAATTATACGTTCGTGATTCATGACGACTTGGTGGAGGAAAGTTTTTCTTTGTAACTTTATTTAAGATATCGTACGTATCGTTTCTTCTTGATTTTCTTTTTCTTTTTCTTCACCTTTCTCTTCTTTCTTTTCTTTTCTTCACTAAAATCACGATCGAAATAACTTTCACTTATCGCCACGTTAGATCTAAACGTTTTTGCTGTATCATCACGCGAAGATGGCGTGGTAAAAGGTCGTTCGATTCTTCCAACAATTTCTTTCTTTCTTTCTTTCCTACTTTTGTACTTTCGTACTTTTTATTAAGAATTACGATAGCTACTTGTTTTCTATCACTAACAACGACAACGACGACGATTCTCTTACTCGTTTTCTATCACCGCTCGTTGTCGTCCCCCTTTTCAAAGCGGGCCTGAGTCCCTCGCGATTCGAACGTTCATTCGTTCGTATGTTCGTTTATTCGTTCGCTCGCTTGCTCGCTTGAAAAGAACGGTTTCTTTGTTTCTCCTTCTCCGTTCTCTGACATCGTGTGTGCGCGCGGATCGATCTCGTCGTCGTTTCTCCAACCCCTCTCCATGCTACATGCTCGTTTCGTATCTGCGAATATAAACCTACGGTGCATATATGTATATATATATATGCACTGTACATTGTTCATCATCATTATTAACAATGTTTCGATATTGTTCGACATTAACAAATATTTCTCTACATTACTTTTTGTAATATATTTCTAAAGTTGTATCATCGACCACTGTGACGCCATTTTTTAAATATGCTTCTAAAAAAATATTAATCACTTTTTTCTTTTTTTCTTTTTTAAAACATATGAAAACGTTAAGGAATCTCATTTTTTAATAATAATAATAATTACTTACTATTATTATAGATATAAATGAATGATTAATCATTTAAATTTGTAGAAACGTAGAATCAAATTTATAATACGAATTTAGTAGCGTAAGAGACTTTAAACTCTCAAGTGGAAATTCTCGAGAATTCCGAGGACAATACTAACATGCTGTGCGTTATAAACGCCCACTGGTACAATACGTACGTACATACATACATACTACGTGCTCTTTAGAGAAATTAGCGTGCGAGTCTCGCAACAGCTGCTCGTATCCCTAACGAAATCACGCGAAAAAAGTACGGAGTCGTTGCGTCGTAATTCGTTTCGCGTCACCGTATTACATATGCATGTATGTAATATATATATATATATATATGTAGTATATACGCTTGTATGATATACGTGTTTAATCGTTGCTTCGTTTTCCACGTTCCATAAGCTAGGATAGAATAGAACGTTTAGAGAACATATATATATAAATTTAATCGAATAGTATACAAAAGTTCCAAATTTTACAAGATCTAAATTTGTTGAATCCTGATAATAAACAGGATTCAATATTATCGATCGATAATCGATCATTTTCAAATAGGAATAAATATTATAAATCCTGGTAGACGCTCTTCTCTTATTAGCCAGTTTCGTATTTATCGTTTTAGTTCTAATATTAGTAGGAAAGGCCAAGGACGACGTTTGTGCTTTGGAAAGCTTAAGGATTATTGCGGACTGGAAAGGAATATCGTGCTATTGTTAAATACGTCTTTTATGTCAGACCTTTCCGTCAAAATGATATCGCACGATAATGTCTTTTCTTTTACGTACACACATATACATGAATTTACATATAAACTGACATACACGTACACACACACATATATATATATTGGTATAGAAAGACAGAAAGATAGATAGGCAGAGACAAACAGACAGATACACTAATACACTAATCACTAATACACACTAAGAGAGATACGTAAGCTCTTGTTAAAATATTCCTTTCGATATATTCGACGTTCATCCCTGTAAAACACTTCGCATATTTTAAATTATAAATTCCTTTTCGAGCATACTTTACGCCCGGTGATTTGTTTGCGAAGAAACTCGACGCACGTTGGAAGGGAGTTTTGTTCGGATTCGAAGCGATCGATCTTCGTTTAAAGCATATACTGTGTTCTCGACGTACGCGTGATATCTCTACATACACATATATATATATACAGACACATATTCAGATTACACTTATGTATATACTTACGTTGTATATACATTTATATATATATATATAAATGTTCATATATATGTATTAGTGTATATCTCGTTCGTTGGCATTTGGTGCGTATATGTATATATAAATATAAACACGTTTGTATGTATGTTTTATATAAGATATTAAATCGGTGCAGTTTCTTTGGACTATCTTGCCAGGGCGAGGCCATCTTGCCCTCGAATAATCTCATCATAAATATTTCATATCCGCGAGCGGAACGCACTTCGCTGCATTAAATCGATTATGCATTCGGAGAAAGATCGCTTTGTGCTAAACACGAGGACGAACCCCCATGGAAATCCTTCCAACTTATTTTCCGTCTCTATCTTTCTCTTAAACGCGCAAGCGCGTTTTCGCGAAATAGAATATATAGGGATCAAGTTTGACGTACTCTCTCCTCTCATCTTAAAGTTCATTCAGAGTACAACGATTATTCGATAATTTTCGTCAAGTACTTTGGTGCCCCTCGAGGATTTTAGTTAAGTTCAACAAAAAGGATCTATATATATAAAAAAGAAAAAGTATTTAAGGATTGTAAATTGTTAAATCGATTTCTATATAAATATAAACGTTGAAAAGAGTTTTATTAAATGAAATATATAAAGTCGGATAAATATGATATTTCGTAATGATAATATTTAGTTGCATTTCGTATATTCGTATGATTTACAACGATACTTTAATTCGATCGGAGATAAGCGAGAATTGAAATTTATTATTAAATAATGAAAATGTTTAGCCACATCGGTTTACTCATTATTTACGAAAATTCGTTAATTTACGTCAGAGGTGCGAACGAAATTCGATAAAGTCGTAAAAGTACAAATTGAATAAATAATATAACTACTGAGCTACAAATTATCTCGATTCCGTTCGCAAATAATTCACACAAGAGTTTTATTAATAAAATACTAAAACTCGATAAATATACGATAATGTATAATACAAAAAAAATGTATAAATTTATATTCTGTATATTTCTGTCGAATTAATTTATGAATGCCTGTAATATTAACTCTTTATGCATATATATATATGTCAATCCAATACATTACGAACAAATACATAAATTCTTACGGGTGTTATGTACCTGGTTATCCATTAAAATAAATACGCTTGTAAAAATTTATCGTATATGTTAAAAATGACAAAGTTAGTCTAACATAAAATCAAAAAATTGAAACCAAAAAAAATTGGGGATGTTGACGACAACTCGAATTTCTTTTTAGCAACAAACGAGAAGAGTGGTGTGTTGGTGTGTCGGCATGCGAACGAGAAATTGAAAAAAAAAAAAGAAAGAAAGAAAGTAATAGAGGGATGGTTTTCTTTTTTCGCGAAGGCAGATGGTCGATGTCGCGGCCAAGCTGCGTTCTTTTTTCATTCGACTGCCATTAAGACCATTGCATGACGATGACGATGACGATGACGATGACGATGACGATGAAGAAGAGTCGGTTAAAAGCATCGAGGTACGAAAGGAAAGGAAGAAGCACTCGTAACTTTATGGATATGTGTTACATCGTCGTTTCGCTAATTACGCGTTCCAACCTATTTCTTATTTATATGTTTCTACATAAGTTTATATACATACGTGTATTTATATGGGATCAATACGAACTTTGCAACGAATCTTGGATCTTCTTTTTCTTTCTTTCTATCTTTCTTTTTTTTTTCTTATTTCTATTTACCCCCAGCCCCCACTCCCACCTCAAACGTTCATACATTTTTTAAATGTCTTCTGTAAACTTTTAACTATAATTATGAAAATAACAAGATATTATTTCTCCATTGAAAATTTCCATTATTAATTTTCCGGGGGTCTCGCAAAATCTAAATACGAATCTAATTGTGTTAACCTAAATATTATGATATATATAAAAAGAAAATTATAGTGATTAGTAAGTTATTTTTTTGAGATTAACGAATAATATAATATGCGGATAATTGTATTAACCCATTGCATATGAACCAGCAACATTGTCGGACAGACATTGTTCGTTTTCAATTGTGTTATATAGTAATGAAAGAAAAATATTTCTTTTTCGTTTCAACATACACACACAAATCATACATTTTTCTTTATCTAATTGATACTAATTGACGTAGAAGAAAAAAACAAAAATATATATATGAATAATAACGTAAAAGGGTTAATTAGTGAGAAGAATAAAATGGCGGATCTAAATGAAAACTTTCTAAGACCACTGTCGGGGAAAAGAATTGTTTAAACGAATAAATCCATTTTGCGTAGGTATATCGAGTGAATCGTTTTTCGCGGGAAAATCGTGATCGTTTGGTATAACGTATAGGATGATAAAAAGTAGTAAGGGCAGCAGAACAGGACGCGAAGGTCTGAAGGTTGATAGGTAGGAAGGAAGGAAGGAAGGAAGGAAGGAAGGAAGGAAGGAAGGAAGGAAGGAAGGAAGGAAGAAAGAAAGAAAGAAAGAAAGGAAGGAAGGAAGGAAAAGGGATGCCTTCGTAAAACGACGTGACTTCATTTCCTCGTGGAGTATAATACTACTCGTACATATACGTGCCTCGTCGTTCGTCTTCTTCTTTTTCATTTTCTTTTTCTTTTTCTTCTTGTACCTTTTTTCCTTTCCTTTCCTTTCCTTTCCGTGTAACGAGCTTAACGAGCAGCCGGTCACGTCACAGCTAAGGAAAACGGTTTTTTTAGTTCGTGCGGCGATGCCCTTTGGCATTCATACTATGCGAAATATCTTTCTTTCTTTCGATCGTTCACCGAAAGTGATTGGTTTGTCATTGCAGAAGCTGAACATGGCTATGCTTCGACGATGCCGATACCCGATGATATGCGGACGGTCACAAAAAGGCCAAAAACGAAAAAATCCCAAGGCAGTAGGTACGTATATATCATTTTTATTTATTTTATATATTTATTGTTTAGCTTTTTTCTTTTTTTTTTTTTTCGATTGATTACTTTTGTCTTTATGTGTGACGATTTATTAACACGTCGATTATCAACATACATATTATTGTACGAGCCATTTTTATTTTTCATTTCGTTAGTGTTCTTTATAAAGAAAAAAACCTTTTTCTTCTTTAGATTTAATTTATTTATGAACTTTTCCTAATTTCGATATATGAAAAAAAACAAACCAATTTTACATTTTTTAACGATGATCACAACACACTGTTATGGTAATCGACTGGTTTTAATCGCAATCAATAATGTATTAATGTTAACAATCAAAATTATCAATAATTTTGTTATTTGTTTTCTTCTTATTACAGAACAACTCATAACGAGCTAGAGAAAAATAGGTGAGTGAGAAAGAAATATGGTTTTATATATCTCTTAAAATAGAAATTAACAAAAAAAAAAGAAAGAAAGAAAAAAACAAAGTAAAGAAGATAAAGTTTTATAAGAAAACAAACGTAAAAGAATTTCCGAAGTGTTGTATTATAAAAGCATAGATGATCTAATCCTTATTGGATGTTCGTGTTCAGTTTTAATACTATCGCACGTAGTTATCACGACATCATTGCTCGGTCACGCCATTAATGGCTAATTACTATAGTCCCAATGGACCATATTAAAATATAATTATATATAACATGTATAATGTTACACATACACACATATAATATATTATACGTATATAACGTTGTCTTATAATAATAAAAAAATCGTGAAAAAGTTGTAGAGAAAGCAAAAAACAATAAGAAAAATTAGAAAATTCGCGAATAATAAAAAGAACAAACAAAATTTTTGAATCTCCCTACCTTCTCCCTCTTTCCCCCTTTCTCTCTCTCCTCTCTCTTTCTTCTTTTTTATTGTGAAAAATAAAAGAAAAGTAAGGAGAGAGAAAGAGAAGGAAATAGAGAGTGAGTACGAGGACAGTCTATCGATTTTTTGTTCACGACGACGTAGGGGTAGGTGGGATGGGGTGGGGTAGGTAGAGTATAGAAAGGGTGCTGAGGAGAGGGTATAGAGAACGCGTGGCACATAAACGACCCGTGTAAAAGCTCATACCGGCAAGCAGCAGCAGCAGCAAGTCCATGTGTTACAACACGTAGGCCAAGTTACATAACGCGAGACTCATATAAGATGATCCTTGCTACATGTCGTATCGTCTGTAACGAGGATCATCATTATATCACTAATGCTATTATTTTTTTCTTTCTTTCTTTATTTCTTTTTTTCTTTCTGTTATCGACGGTGTTTCATAGAATAACATTTTCTTCGTTTGTTACAATATTTGTAATCTACTTTAACATAAATTTACATTTCAAACTGGTAGTAATAATAATGATAATAATAATAATAGTAATAGATGGATATTTTTTTTTTTTTTTTTATTAATAAGGAACTAGTATTTTCTCCTTCGAATTACTTATATATATATATTCGTATATTATTCGTGTTTAAATACGTGTATTATAGTTACGTAGATACAGTGTTACAAGGATAAATTTGCATAAAGGGTAAAAAAATATGCATAGAAATTTTATAATCCACGATAATACCTTTACGATTGAGATAGATCTCGTAATCGTATAATTTTTATCAAGGTGTATTTTATCATTCCTTGACTGCCTTCATACCAGTTTTTTTCTTCTTCTTCATATTTTTTTTTTCTTTTTTTTTTTGACTTTTTTCTGATAATCTTACGTGATTTATAAGCTCGACGACCTCGTCCTTCCTTGGTTTTCTTATCGATAAGATCCACCGAGAAAGAAGTACGTAAGATTATCCGAGAAAGGAAGGAGAAAGATGGAGAAGGGGGTTAAGGGGAAAGGAGAGGGAAAGGGGGAATCTTTCTTTTCTTATCCGATGACAACGACGACGACGATGGCTGGTTATAGCGATGGTGATGCTTTCAACGTAATAATAAAATAGAAAATAGGAAAATATACACATATATATATTTCATATGTAAAATAAAGTAAAAATAGATAAGATAAAACAACGTGGCAGTAAAAGCTGAAACTCTCGAACGCGATTTAAGCAACGACATAGAGTGTGAATTTCGTAAGAACGGAAGAAGCTAGTTTCTAGTAGTAGTGGGAGGAAAAGAGTATAAAAGAGTATATGAGAGAAAGAGAGAGAGAAAGAGAAAGAGAGTACGTTTATAAGATAGGCATTATTCGCCGTTGGGCTTACACACTACAACCAACCTCACCTTTGGTGAACATTCGTGTCCGTGTTCCGCTGCAGATGCTAATTTCCCAACTGTTGCTATTTACGACGACACTAAAGCCATGCAAACGCATTAACGAAGCTCACGTATACCGGGGGCCAGGGCCCCGGTACACAACCGCCATAATTACGCGGATATGTAGTTTAACGCTTTAAAACGTAACTGATGCCACCCGACGTTTTCAGATAGTTTTCTACGTTAGTTATTCCGTACTAATAGTAATAACGTACAAACCGTTATTATTTTGTATTACGTGAAAATCGGACGACGGATAATAAACAATACGGATTATATTGCACATATTCTTTTTTTTTTTCTTCCTCGTTAAGACGTACGATTTTATCTTCAAAAAAAAGCGTTAACAGTCAGTCTCTGCCAAAAAAAAATCAAATTCATATTTTAGTAGTTATTCTATTATTTTCGCATTAATCACGCATTTATGTTTATATTCTTTTTTTTTTTTTTTTAGATAAAGAAACAGAGAGAATTAATCATATATTTAATACTCTTGTCATTAACTTTTTTTTAAATATACTTTTATAGATCGTAACTATTTTTTTTTTTCTTCATAGGGAAACAAATCGTTCGTGACATTTTTTTTTTATTAATTTTTCAAATCGATCATTCTACATTTTTCTCTCATACTTTCTTTTTTGTTCTAATTTAATTTCAATTTAATTTCAATCGATTTCTCGTGACGATCCTTAATATTTCTCTCTCTCTCTCTCTCTCTCTCTCTCACACACACTCTTTTCGTCTTCATGAATGATTTAAATTACGTATAAACGTAAATAGTAGGAGGACACAACCGAAGTCATAAGAGGAGAAGAAGAAGAATAAGAAGAAAGTGGGCCGATGCAGGTGCATAAGTATGCGAAGCATACGTACGTTAGTTAGTAGTATATACGTAGAAGAAGAAGAGTAGAGGGCAACGACATCCTGTCCTAAATTTGGCCACGAGCCGGCTATAACGCCTTGAAAATAAATCCGGCACTCGGTATGTTTTACTATACTTTGTTGCATTCGTTCAGCTAACAACTACTGAACGCCGTGGACAAAGACCTTTTCTATTTTCTCTCTTTCTCTGTGTGTGTGTGTGTGTCTCTTTTCTATCCGTTACTCTTTCATTATTTTACATTCATCATTTTCGATCATCGAATATATTACTCATTTTCATCTTCTTCGATAACGTTATTATTTTTCTCCCTTTTTTTTTTTTTATTAATTTACTTTTTCCAATATATAGAAATAAATTGTACCCTTATTTTCTCTACAACGTACGATAAATTTTCTGTTTTTTTTTTATTTTTTTTTTTTTTCTTTGTACGAGAAAGATGACGATGACGGTTAGAGAACAACGACACGCGAAAGGTAGGATTATCGTTTATTCCCGTGCAAGAAAGTCAACGTTTGTACTTGAGGACCCCCGAGCCGTGACAGTAATTAGCCTTTGAACGGAATAATAGGTTATCACAGCGGTAAATCAGTACCGTTAATGCTCACCATGACGACATCGCTTCTGCATAACAATAACGTGCCAAGCAGCACCAACTGCAGCAGCAATAGCAAGAACATTAATAGTTGTATTAGTAGTAGTAGTAGTAGTAGTAGTGGTAATAGTAATAATAATAATAATAATAATAATAATAGTAATAGAAGTAGATGGCGATTACGTTTGTTGGCTTCAGCTTGTTGCTCTCCTACTCGCGGTGGTGGATGTTAATCGAGTGTTTCTTACGAATAAATCTTCTTAATTAGTCGTCTAGAGAATTCGATGTAATTTTGAAATGAAAAAGAAAAAAAAGAAGAAAGTATATTCTCTAACCGCTAAGAAATAGAAGTAGAAGTAGAAATAATAAAAAGAAAAAGGATAGTATATCGTCGTATGTACATTGTATTCAATTTTCTTGATAGAAGAATATTTTCTCTGAAATATGATCGAGAAAACGTACAAGCAACTTTGACACATATACAGATACACATACACACCCGCGTATACACTGTTACACGGAATTTGTTGAAAATTGATTCGAAAGTGTTTCTGCGAAGGGGGAAAAGAAAGACTACTACTCCTATCCCCCCCCTCCGCTTTCCGATAAAATCATCTTTTCTCCATGGTACTTATCGTCATATCCTACGGGATAAACGCTCGATTCTAGGCATCGTCGAAAAAAACGAATCCGTGGGTGGTGGTAGTGGTAGTGTGGTTGGTGCTGCTGCTGCTAGGATACTTGGAAGAGGGGAAGAAAAAAAAGGGTGGAATCGGAAAGCTTTCTTTTTCTTTTTTTCTTTTTTTTTTCTCTTCTCTTCTCTTCTCTTCTTTCCTCTCCCTCTTCTCTCTCTTTCAAGCTTTGCCGAGTAAAACCAGAAGAGAGAGAGAGATAGGAGAGTGCGCGAGTGTTCCGAGCGAAAATTAAGGCTGCAAACCCGGCGCTCAGGGCCGTAGGGAGCAGCACAAGACGATTCCTGGGTCCATTTGAAATGCATTGAATTTTTAAGCACCCTCCTACTCCTCCTTCACCCTTCTCCCTCTCCCTTCTTCCTTTCGTTTCCTTTCCTTTATGCCGTTCCTGCGAGATAGTTAACTTCCGATTCGGTGGTCCTAAGTCGTGTTACTTTACTCTACGTCATCATTTCTATTACAACGTAGAGAAGATCATTTAAAAACGTTGCTATGATCGGTTGCCGACAACGGGTGTGAGGGGGGTGGGAGGGATTTGAATCAATCGGGGGAGTAAAATCGATCGTTTTAAATTTCATCGAGGAAGGTAAAGATGGTGGTTTTAATCGAATTCTTTATACTTTTCTTTTCTATCTTACGTTTACTTTATAACTTTGCGAACGGGAAGTTCGAAATACATTAGTAAGTTTATCGATTTTGACATTTGACATCTGACAATAGAACGAATATGACCGATACGATTGAGAGAATAGTAGTAGTGGTCTTTTAACGCGGTTTTATACACAAATATTATTTCCCCTCTTATCTTCCCCCACACCCCCTCTTTCTCTGTCTGTATGTCTGTCATTTTCTTTACGTTTATTACATTCCTCGATTATTATTTATCTTCGTTCTTATATCTCGTTGGTTGAAGTTATTTGCAGCCAGGTCTCGAAGAT